AAAAAATATAATAATCAATTTCATAAGAAAATACTATATTTTTCAATGAAATCCGAAATTAACTCAAAAATCGTCTGTGGGGCCCGTGAACGCAATCCATTATTCGCGAACGCGGAGAAAAAATATTGCCTGCTTTAGTTTTCCCTTCGCAAACGCGAGACCTCTCTCGCGAACGCGAAGAAGGAAACCAGAACTGGAAAATTTGGTTTCTCAAATTTAGCTCCGGGCGGTCCGAAACACACCCGAGCCACTCGGGACCCCGTCCAAAGGCACCAAAAAGTCTGTAATTATAATACGAACCTACTAGAACTCTCAAAATGAGTAAAACGACAACAAATCCACGAATCACACCCCAAAATCAAATGGGATCAAATTTTGAACTTCAAGTTTTCCAAATTCTCCGAATGCGCCAAATCATACTTAGACAACTTGGAATGACACCAAATTTTGTGTGCAAGTCTTAAATCACCATACGGAACTATTTCCAAACTCGAAATTCCAAACGGACTTCAATTACTCAAAAACCTACTCCAACCCAAATTTAAAGAACTTTAAACCTTCAAATAATTGATTTTTACTATTACGTGCCAAAACGCTCCCGGATTATCCAAAACCCGATCCGAACATACGCCCAAGTCCAGAATCATCATACGAACCTATTGGAACCCTCAAATCCTGATTCCGGGGTCGTTTGCTCAAAATGTTGATCGAAATCAAACTTGGCCTTTTAAGGCCAACTTAAAGAACCAAGTGTTCCGATTTCAACCCGAATACTTCCAAATTCCCCCGCAAGTCATAAATCAATAAAAATACATACGCAGAGTTTTATTTTAGAGAACGGGGTTCTAAAAGTTAAAATGACCGGTTGGGTCATTACAGAAGCTACATCTCCACCTTAGAAATTATGTAGTTACACCCCTTTTTACACAAATAGCCGTTCATATTCTTTGTTTAAGTACAAGTAAAAAATTCAACAACGGCTATATGGAAGAAATTTATCAAACTAGAGAAAAAATATGGTAGGAGGCTTTTTTTATTTATTTATAAATTTTTGAATCTCTCTACACCGATGATACCTCTCCACCTTAGAAATTCTGTAGCTACATCCCTATTTATAATACTACAAACTAAATTTGACTGGAATTTAGAAAATCTATTCCTACATGATTCCGATCGTGAATACTAATTAGACAAAATTAAATAAACTAACAAATATCATAGACAATTTAGGAATAATAATTAATCTTATTTTAATTTTCAACTTCTAAAAACTCAAAGGCATTTTTTTCCTCTCTTTATTTGTCACTTATCAATATTAAGATATTGATTTTATTGTGGATGAATTTTTTTCACAATTATGAAGAATATGACACCAGTAGCTAAATAGTAGAATGTTAAACCTCTTTATAATAGCCTCATATGTCCATATATTTTGCCCTATTATAACGATTAGTTGTTATACACCTATATTAACATTTAAAATTTAGATCTTATTTGGTTGTTATAAACAAAATTACCCAAAAATAGTTTTTTCAATTTTTTTATATTTAAAAGATAAAAATATATTTAGATTTAACATCTAAAAAGATATTCATATTTCATTAATTAAAATTTTAAATAATTAGTACGATATTAATACATCCGTAACTAGTTGTTACATTTATTTTATCTAGGGATTTTAGCAATTTTATTATGTTCAAATATATTATTTTTATTGTTGGAAAAATACTTAAATTTCTCAAAAACTTATTTGTTGCCTTAATTTTCCTTTTTTTTTTTTGCTCGAAAAGTAAACGCGGTAAGTTCTCCCTCCTTTTTCAAAAAATTTCGCGAATCTTTCTGTCACGACCCAAAAACCTAACTTGTCGTGATGGCGCCTATCGTGGAACTAGGCAAGCCAACTCATTTCCAAAGTAAAACGATAATTTCATTTTAAAGATAATTTCAAGGTTATTTAACATAAAACCTCCAAATTAAAGAGTTTAAATCAAAGAAAAACAGAAGTACGGAAAAGAAAAGCCCGACATCGGGGTGTCACTAGTCATGAGCATCTACTACGATATGTCTAACAGCGTCAAGGCTAACTCAGCCTGGAAAATAGCTAAATACAACTAGAGGAAGACAAGAGGGAGAAGAGCAGGGGCTGCGATCGCCAAACAACTACCTTGCAATCTTCAAGAAAATATGCAACCAGAACACTCAATAACCGCTACCGTGTCCAGCCACACCTGAGTCTGCACACAAGGTGCAGGGAGTAATGTGAGTACGCCAACTCAGTAAGTAACAACAATAAATAAAGACTGAGCAGTAGTGACGAGCAATAAAACATATAACGTTCATATCAGGAAATCTCAGTAAAATACCACATGCTTTTAAAAATCA